CTAAACTTAATATTTTAAGAGTCCATTGATTGACTTAATAAATTAAACATGATAATTGGACTTCTTTGGGTCCATTGATTGAGTTAAAAAGTGACAATGGCCCTAGAGTCTCTGGTATGCCACGTGATTCTGTCGTGGCAGATGCTCTAAGTAATGGTTTGTGGTGGATATCTTCTTCTCGCAGCAGGAATCCTATAGTTCGATTGCTGCTCTAGTGTCTACCTAATCCCTCACAGATTTCCGATTCAGAGGTGGATGACCTATACTTATGGAAAACAGGTATGGCTCCTCCTTCGGATCAGTTTTCAGCTCTTGAAACATGGAATTCTCTTCATCCTCCGGAGATGGAAGTGCCTTGGCATAAAGCAGTATGGTTCAAGGACCGTGTTCCCAAGCATGCATTTTTTACTTGGGTCATGGTTAGAAACAGGCTGCCAACACGAGATAGATTACGCTCTTGGGGATTGCAGGTACATTTAGAATGCTTACTCTGCAGTACAGGTTATGAATCCCGGCAACATCTCTTCTTTGATTGTTCCTACAGCTCTGAGGTATGGTCTTTCTTCTCCTCCAAAGCCCATCTTTCTCCACCAATCTTGTTTGAGGATTGTATAAGATGGATGAAAGACCCTACTAGAGATAGGAATGTAGCCTTCATTATAAAATTAGCTTTCCAAGCTGCTATGTATGCGATATGGAAAGAGAGAAATGCTAGGCTTCATAATGCAGTTTCTACGCGTGCTTCAGCTTTTATATCAGAAATACAACTCATTCTTCGGTCCAAGCTTGCTCCTTTCTCGCGATCGAAAAGATTCGCTCCAAACTCTAATACTTACCTCATGACTTGGTTTGCAACGTTTCAGTGAGAGATCTAGTACAATTTGATTGTGGTTGTAGGCTTAGAGGTTTGAGATTTCGTCTGCTATAAGGATATGTAATGAATTGTACTTTTTCTTTAATGGAAATTTTTAATTTAAAAAAAAAAAGAAAAGAAAATATTTTAAGAGATTTTTTGCAAAATACCCTATTTAAGTTTCTAAATTTGAAAAATACACTATGTTTAGATTTTTTTTAAACTACTCTTTTTTAATGTGATAAGACATTTTTATCCATAGTTCAACTGAAGTTTACATATTTAGTAAACTAAATTTAAAATATATGGATATATGATTATTACTGTTTGAAATAAATACATATTATTGATTTAATATATTTACTAAGTTCTTCATTATCCGTTTAAAAAAAAAAACTTAACAGAATCACGAGTTACTAATTAGGTAAGCTATATGTGTATCCCATTTATTTATCAAAAAGTTGAAATTATTGTTTCACAATACAACATGATATTTCACAATACGACATGATGGACTATCATCATTTTGTATATGATAACCAACAAATACTTAAGTGAAAGCAAATTGGTTCCTAGAAAACTTATTAGTTCAGATTATTGTGTCATCATTACCTGCTTATAGTCATTAATACAATTATGTATAACAATTTAGCA